TATTTGTTTTATCTACTTTTAGTATCTTGTTTCAATCATGAACGGTGAACCTGATTTTCATATTCTTGTTCCATATCATGTCAATTATTATGTTTGTATTTTGACTAATTCTTGGTGTCTGATTATCTACTAATATGGAGCAGGTCACGGGAGATGATGGTGAATCTGGTGGGGATCAACACGCTTCGATCTTTGTTCTTGGCAGACAGTTATTTGTTGGCATGTTGATGTTAGATACTTGGCAATATTTTATGCATCGGTACATGCACCAAAACAAGTTCTTGTACAAACATATCCATGCTCAACATCACCGGCTAATTGTTCCGTATGCATTTGGAGCTTTGTACAACCACCCTTTGGAGGGTCTGATTCTTGACACAATCGGCGGGGCTCTAGCTTTCCTTGTCTCCGGGATGTCACCACGTACCTCCATCTTCTTTTTCTCATTTGCTACGATCAAGACGGTTGATGATCACTGCGGGCTATGGTTGCCCGGAAATCTCTTCCATATCTTCTTTAAAAACAACTCCGCTTACCATGATATCCATCACCAGCTTTACGGGACCAAGTATAACTATTCACAGCCTTTCTTTGTGACGTGGGATAGGATACTTGGTACCTACATGCCATATGAACTTGAGAGGAGACCAGAAGGAGGTTTTGAAGCTAAGCCTGTTAAAGATTGCAAGGAACATTGACAATACTGTTAGTACATGTTTGTCATAGAGTATGTACCACTGCAATTTTTGCATTATTCTAATGCTTAGTTTACTCATTTAATTTGTATAGAGTATATAGTTAAAAGGGTTCTGCATATATTGTTGTATAACTGATGTTGGTTTCGAGGTTTGAGAAAGGAATAGGGTCGAATAATAGTTTCCTTTTTAAACATTGTCTCAAGATCTGATATCTGGTATATTCAACTGCAGGCAGAGAGATAAATGATTACTGAAATACATTGTGTGCCTTTAATTCTTTAGTTCCAAGCATATGGACATGTATTTGTGACTTTCTCATTCTTCTTTTTTGTGGCCTGTTATTGATAACTTGTGAGACCATCTTTCATATTCATAGTTGAAAATACATCCTTGTGACACAACAATGAAACAATGAGCAATTGAGATTACAATACAGAGTATTAATAGTTTCTTTCTTCACTCTTTAACTTACTATTAAACTAGTATAAATTAACACACAAGACCTACGTAGCAATTTTCACTTGATAAAACGTTGATTTATACTAAGTCATATTAAAAAAGCACAACACTTGTGTATTATCTCATTATTTTACAACCAACAATTCGAGGTCCGTGAGTAGAATGTATATACTCATATCAGATCACACCCAAAATTAGTTTTTTTTTTAAAAAAAAATTATAATCTAGAATAAATAGTTATATGTATGTGAGTATAACTACTCGATCCCTTAATTTTCCTTTTTAGTTTGTTTAAAAAAAAAATGTCCCTTCTACTTTCATGTTTCTACGTCACATGTTTAAAACTACAAGATTATATTCTTTAATTTTTGATACGATGTGTCTTACGTATTAAAAAGTAGTCAGGGAAGGCAGAGAGATAAAAGTGCAAAGATAACTTCAGGAATTTTTTTTTAAAATCAATTTAATTTATAGAATTTTGACTACATTATTTATACAAACTAAATAAATTTTTAATATATACATATAATTATAATTAAAATTATTGAATTACGTTGTATTCGATAGCTCAGCCCTATCGATGATATGACATATGGGCATTGAAATAATTGTAACTGCTGGCAATAATTGTTTAAATAGTTCAATTGTGATATGTGGTGCTAAAAAAATAAATAAATTCAAGAACAATTATAAAAGGATAAGTCAAGATAACTATTGATATAATCTTGAAAAAATATCAAAATCGATGGATATAATCGCTCTGATAAATTTGGTATAGTCCATTGATTTATTTAAATGTATAGTGTTGCCTAGATACCTTAATTAGGAATATTATTGACTAGATAATTTTAATATTATTTGGTAATTGAATGTTTTGTAAATAAATGAACTTTGGTAGACCTTTTAGATTGTTTGATGGATATTTAGTCAGTTTGTTACTGATATTATAGCTCAGTTTGATGTATTATGAGCTTGAGTTGAGTCACAAAAAGGACTATGATGAGCTTAAGTCGAAAATTCTAATGAAGTCAGATCCATCTATACTAACTAGTATAAAATTAAATTAATAGATACACATAAAATAATAAAAATCTGTGAGATACACTCGTCCTACGTACACGTTTATGTATTATCCCATTATTTTACTGTGTCAATTACAACCAGGATACGGCTCCTTTCCATTTCTCTTCTTTCCATTTTTTCCAAGTTCAAGCTTGGATTGGAGACACGTGTCATAGTTTAGAATTAATGGTTAAGATCCGATTGACTAAAATAAAGTCCTAACCATAGTTATTTACTTCCATATATTTATATATTTGCTTCTTAAATATTTTTACAATCCAACAATTCTAAATTTACATTATATTTTAATCAATTAAATCTGAACCATTAATTTTAAACTATGACATGTATTTCCAATCCAAGCTAGAACTTGAAAAAAAAAAAGAGAAATGGAGAGAAACCGAATCCATTACAACCAACTATTATTTAGCCCCATGAGTAGAATGTATATGTTTGGAAAGTTGACTGCTGACAATAATTATTTGGAAAGTTCAATTGTGATATGTGTGGTGCTAAAAAAAAACAAACCCTAAACAAGTCTTGATTTATCTAAACTGTTATGCAGAATTCGAGATAATAGGAGAAAATATAAACGCGAAAAACAATACAACAGATTTACGTGGTTCACCAATAAATTGGCTACGTCCACGGGAAGAGGGGGAGCAGTTTTATTATGGAGAGGCAAGAACAGAATACAGAATAGGGTTTGCCATAGTGTCTATATATAGTGCTAAGCTACGCCCTAACAGGCTTGGGCCCAAAATACAAAATTGACAGATAATTAAGGGCCCAATACAACAACATTGTATACCGTCGGGTCCGATTTAAGGCATTCAACATAAAACATTTAAACTATCTCAAATTTTTGAGTTTTACATGTGAGTTATAAAGAATTGTACGAGTTTTGTACTTGAGCTATCGCCCAATATAAATATGCATATTAATTTGACCCCAGTTGACATTTATATCCTTCAATTTTAGGTGTGCACAAATAGACACTTAAATTTGTATTTAGTTGAATAAGTGACACACATTCTACATAGCATAAACAAATCAGTCCGAGTAGTGTATTTCACTCGAATTGTCGCGTACAATATGTATGTCTACTCGTTAAACTTTAATGCTAACTGAAGCCAAAATAAAAGACACGCTTATCTATTATGCTTTAAAATTTTCATGACACTATGCATGGCGTATACCATGATGTCTACTATTCCTTTTCATTGACACTTTGATTACGTACATACATATTTTAAAAAGACCAATATTGTATTAGTCAACATATTTCTACTTCATATGTCATGACAGTATTTTTACCTGAGCAACTTCCAGGAAATTGTTAATAATAGTAACAATCAGTTGTAAAATCAAAAATTTCGTTAAAAAGTGTTTAAAGGTTAAATATGTATGTATAAAAAATAATTTTTAATCTATATATTTCGTATAATAATTTATATACATAATATAATTTTTCGACAAAGGATATTTAAACAGACCAACAATTATAAGTCAAGATATTTAACGCATTAATGAGAGTGCATATTCCAGGAAACTGTAGTTTACCTAAACACAAAGTATCGTCTTATATGAATTATTATATTAATATATTAATATAAACAAAGACAATTATATTAATTAATGCAAGCTGGTAACAACGAAGGGGTGGCTTAATAAAATATAATTTGTTGAAAGACTTGGTTCAACAAACAAATATACTTTAATTTGTTCAAGCCTAACTTTTCGTTCGATTTTCCTTTTTTTTTTTTAATTACTTAACCTTAATTTTGATTTAACGTTTGTGATTCATTTCCTTATTGGTCTTTACGTGTATATCGAATATGAGATGATTTAAAGTATTTTATTTTAAATGATATATATATATATATATATATATATATATATATATATATGATCATAATTCACTCGTCCATACGTAAGTACAATGACATCTTGTATATATATGGTCCCCTTGACTAAAGACAAATGTTCACATGCATTATTGGATTTTAATATTAACTTAACCTTCCTATAGTTCTCAAGGGACCTAGTTTTAAATTTATATAAAATTAAAACTTAAAAGTCTACAAATGAGGACAAGAACAGTATTTCAACATTGCCAATAGAAACGTTGTTTCAATTTATGTGATAGTACTTTCCTTTTTAATGTGCGTTAAAAAAAGAATGACAGATATGTCTTTTTATCTTGTCTTAAAAGGCATTATACACGCCCGATAATCGATTCACGATCCTACCCCGAGACCCGATATCTAGGAGTTGACCCCGACTCTCGACTCGAGACACAACATTTGAATTGGGACTCGACCCCAACACCTGACTTGAGAATCGACCTAGGACCCGATTTCCAAATTGAGACCCGACTCCGACTCTCGATCTGAGACTCGAGACCTGATTTCTAACCCGATCCGACCCTAACACGCAATACCTGACTCTTGACTAGATCCTACCTCGACTCTCAACCCGATACCTGACTTCATCACTCAACCCGGAACCCCACCCCAACACTCGACCTAGGATCTGACCTCGAGTCCTGACCCGGGACCCGACGCTCCATTGAGGATCTGACTTCGACCTAATAGGACCCGAGCTCAGAACTGGGAGTTGGATCTTTGATCAGGTCTAGAGGTCCATGTCCCAATTTATGTGATATAGTTTGACTTTTGAGTCTATCGAAAAAAGAATGACAAAATGTCTTTCTATCTTGTCTTAAAGGCATTTTACACGTCCTAGCTCTCTGGTCATTTCTCTCTATATATATACATATATATAGAAGGCCATAACAAACATTCACATAAACTTGAATACTCCAATTAACTTCAAGATGATGCAAGATCTATGGACTCAATTGGGTCCTACCATTGCAGCCATCATGTTCACCTGGACCATGTACCAGAACTACTTCCCTCACGAACTTCGCGGTCATATTAGGAGGTATACCGATAAACTCGTGAACTATTTCTATCCTTATATGCACATTATCTTTTATGAACTTGAAACTGAAGGGTGGTTTGAGCGGAGCAAAGCTTACGTATCGATTGAAAGGTACCTAAGCAAGAGCTCGAGCACACAAGCTAAGCGTCTCAAAGCCAATTCGGTGAAGGATGGTCAATCGCTTGTCCTAACCATGGATGATCATGAGGAGATAACGGATGAATATAAAGGCGAGAAGGTTTGGTGGATTTCGAGCAAAAAACCAGCGAGCAGGCAGACAATATCTTTGTATAAGGAGGATGAGAAGAGATATTTCAAGCTAAAATTTCACAAAAAGAATCGCGACCTTGTCACAAATTCATACTTGAAGTATGTGTTGGATGAAGGAAAGGCGATATCTGTGAAAGAACGACAGAGAAAGCTGTACACGAACAATAAGGGAGATGGAGGTGGTTATAGATACAGGGGAGGGAGGATGTGGAGTGGAGTAGTATTCGAGCATCCGTCAACATTTGATACTCTAGCTATGGATCCAAACAAGAAGCAAGAGATCATAGATGATCTCGAAACATTTAGCAAGTCAAAAGACTATTACGCAAAGATTGGTAAGGCGTGGAAGCGTGGTTATCTTCTTTATGGTCCTCCAGGAACCGGTAAATCTAGCATGATTGCTGCTATGGCTAATTACTTGAAGTATGACGTCTATGATCTTGAGCTGACATCGGTTAAGGACAATACCGAGCTAAGAAAACTCCTGATAGATACAACAGGTAAATCTATTATTGTGATTGAAGACATAGATTGTTCCCTTGACCTAACAGGTCAACGAGAGACGAATAAGAAGAAGAAAGAAGAGGAAGATAAAGGAAAAACTGAGGAAGATGCCGTCAAGGAGAAGATGAAAAAAGGCGGAGAGACGAAAGAAAAGCAAAGTGAGGTAACTTTATCAGGACTATTGAACTTCATTGATGGTCTATGGTCAGCTATTGGCGGTGAAAGGCTAATCGTCTTCACTACAAACTACGTGGAGAAGCTTGATCCTGCTCTAATCCGGAGGGGGAGAATGGATAAACATATTGTCCTATCATACTGTTGCTTTGAGTCATTCAAAGTTCTTGCACATAACTATCTTGACGTCGTTGAATCTCATGTTCACTTTCCTCAGATTCGTCGTTTATTAGAGGAAACTAATATGACTCCTGCTGATATTGCTGAGAATTTGATGCCTAAGTCTTCAAAGGAAAATGCAGATATTTGTTTAGAGAGATTGATTAAAGCTCTCGAAACTGCAAAAGAGGAAGCGAAACTTAAGGCTGAGGAAGAAGAGAGAGCAAAGGCGGCTGAGAAGGAGAAAGAAGAGAAAGATCGCGAGGAAAAGAAAGAAGTAACAGCTACTGAAGAAGCTAAGAGTGTTGACAGTGTAAACGAAAAAGATAATGGTGTTAAGGAAAATGGTAATGTTAGCAAAAGTTGATGAATACACATATAAGAAAGTATGTTTGGAGGTGTTTTAGCTTTCTGTTTTCTACAATTAGCTGAACTTGTAATAAGTTGTTGGTGAAGGTTAATAAGAAAACTTTTTTTAATCATGAAACACTCAAATTTTAGCATCACAATCCATATTTTGCCTCGCGTCTTCAAACGAGCTAACAAGCACTGCAGCGCGATCAATTACTATAGTGTCGTTGCAGTGCAAACTTCTGTCTATATGTATGAAATTAAACGATATTGACATAGTATATTTGTGGTTTCTGTTTGTCTTCAACACTGTCCTCTTTATAGTCCTTATTAGTATTTTTAGAAAGGATTAATCTATACAAGTCATTGGGAATTTTCGAGTTTTTTCTTATGCAAAAGTAGGTATACACATTCTATTTGATACTGGATCCTGTTACAACAATGCAGGACAGATCTCAGATGGAATCAGCACGAAAAGAAATAAAGCATTTTCGCGGTTATAGGAATGTTATGAATCGATGCTTCAAAAGTTATCGCGACTACAGAATGAGGATCAATACGTATTACTTTAGCAGAAACAGGTACAGAGAAGAGCAAAGATAATACAATTTTGTTTAGTGTAGAAGTAAAAAGTAATGAATGCTATAAAGCCTTTACCGAATAGGCTTTAGCAGCATTCACAAAGAGCGCTAAAATGTAATCGTCACTAGCAATGGCCTTTAAGAAACATATTAGCGACATTTAAGTTATTGTCGTTAAATAATTAGTGCTAACAATTTAAATTAGTATTAGAAAAAATGGACATTCTTTCCGTCTTCATTTGATTTTTGTGTAATAGTGTGATATTATATATACATCATATATATACGGTTTATACACTTATATATTATTTGTTCAATATAGATATATTACATATACATTATATATCAGTGTATAAATATTGTATGATAGCGTGTGTGTATATATATATATATATATACATTTCTCATATATAGTTATACTTCATATATAAGTATATGGTTTATATACTTATATATTACATATACACTATATATCAGTGTATAAACATTGTATAATAGTCTGTATATATATACATTTCTTATACATAGTTATATTAACTCACCACTTGCAAGTAGAGGTCTTAAACATGTGAGTTGAATTGCATTTGGATATGTTGAAATTTTAATGATTCGTTTAAAAGTTAAGTTATAACCAATTTCCTCAATTCTTATTAAAATTTTAATTCTTTATTTTTTTTCTTATAATTTATTTGCGTTCAAAATTTTTAAAATTCAAATTTATGATTATATATAATATATCAAATAAAAAATATTTTTTTTCAAAAATATAAATAAAGCTTCTTATAGATCAATCTAAACTACACATCAATCTAATTTTAAAAATAATTGAACGAATTAAAATGAATTGAATTAATAAAATAAGCTGATTATTAACCTATTTGGAAGTAATACTAGAAGAATCTAAAATAATAAGAGGGACACCAAACTTTATGTCAAATAAAAAAGCCTTAATTTAACACTTGGTAGAGAACCTATACACATATTATATTACAAGAAAATACCTAATAAGTTGTTAGCAAAGTGATAAGGATCTTAATTATATTTTGTTGGACCACTTTTTGAAAAATAAATTCAGGTATAGGGGCTAAAATATATAATTAAGTCTCATATTGATTATTTGACTAATTTAAATTTGTATTATATAAAATTAAAGGAAGTATGTTAAGTGTGCCACGGTGAATGACGAATATATTGGTCATTTCTTTATATGATTTTAAATAATTGTTATCTTATGAAACTAGTGTATATTTTTTCGGATTGAGTTTGTCTTGAATATATATTTCTCTATATGGTAATAAGAATCTTATTTTAATTCGATGTTACTATGTCACGATATTGACCCTCATATGTTATTTATGTCATTCACACTGCGATTGACAAGTTAGAGTGAAGGGTGTTAAGTTTACATTTTACTTGACAAAAACATATTATTATCTTTTTATATGCTCTTAAATAATTCTCGTTTCATGAGCTATTTTTGAAGCTGGACGTGCACTATTGATCTCTTTACGAAAAAGATGATTTGAAATTTAGAAAAAGTTTAATAAAATATTTACTCAAATGACAAATTTTAGACCTGTTTCTCATCTAGAATAGACTAGGATTTATAAATAAATTCATTTTATTTTTTTAGAAAACTTATTAATATGCACAATTCGATTAAAATTATTTATTAATATGATTAAAATATACTTTAGTCTTCATTTTTTTTTCTTGATATACTTTGAATAATATTGTAGATGTCAATTCATGTTGTGAGATAAGGGTAATGAATTATTGAGATTATTTTTGGATATATATATATATATATTTTCATTTATTATTGAAAATTGACTCATCTTTAAAAGTTAGAGATTGAAAAGTCACTCGAAAAGACCAGCTGGCTTTGCATCTATGTTTGAACAATCACATTGAGATATGTCATCTTCAATTTTTAGGCATTTTTGGTGTCGATTTGAATCGATTATCGATTAAAATTAAAATTAAATCAATTTAATTATTTTTAAAATATTAAAATCAAACTAAATTATCATCAAATACGATAAATATATTTATCGATTTGTTTTTTTATTTAATTTGATCCGATTGTTTAATTATTAAGCATACATAAAAAGAAAACATGAAATGACAAAAATGGCTTAAAACCTATTTTAGAAAATTAGATTACAATTGGAATGAGGAGGTAACTAGGGATTTTTTTAATTGTTAATATAGTGAACAGATAAAAATAAACGATTATGATAGATTATGCATGTCAATAATTTTAAAACTTATCAACGTATATAAATAAATATACCTATTTTAGAAAATTAGATTACAATTGGAATGAGGAGGTAACTAATGATTTTTTTAATTGTTAATATAGTAAACAGATAAAAATAAACGATTATGATAGATTACATATGTCAATAATTTTAAAACTTATCAACGTATAGTAATAAATAGTTATATAGTCCTTTTATAATATGGTTGGACAAGGATGAACCAAACCAGCCACGAGGAACACAATATATATCACTTTCATGACAAGTTGGAATTAATTAAAAGGAAGTAATTAATCAACCCCACAATATTAAATACAATTAAAGAGGAAAAAAATTTTTAATTAGTATGGAATGTCTTGCAAGAACATGACCCATTGATGGTAAGTTGGTAACTAATCAATAATCATATATAGTAATCAGTGATCAAAATTAAGATTTTTAGTTTATGAGTTCTCGATTATAATTATTTTTATTTATTGTTAGGTACCGGCCTCAACTAGTGAACACATATAATTGCTACGAGATAGGCTTGTAAATAGGAAAAATAACGAAATTGCGATTTTTTTATCAGTTTCAACACTTCTATATTTAAATTTAAAAAAATCTTTCGTGTTGAATTGCATCCATTAAAGGTTCGTCTATGAGAGTATGAGTAGTCGACATCAATCTGACTTCGTATCATCATATATAAAAGAGAGTAAGCAATTTTTAGCAGCAATAAATATACACATTAATAAAGAGTGTTTAAAGTTTTTACCCACATTAGTTTGAATGTCATTAGATCCAATGTCACTAAAAGCTTTAGAGACATACAAAAAGTGTTATATATTTAGCGACAATTGAGCTATTATCGTTAATAATTGCCGCTAAAGATCATTTTTGATGTAGCGAATATCATTATTCAGTTACATTAGCTATAGTAATAAGCCACAAACGCAAATACATAATCAACAAGATGTATTTACAACAAAAAAAGCCCGATTTTTATTTTTCGAAAAAGAAGTGAACACTTTGCTGAGGAATGAAGTACCTCTGCCTAGAAGAAGAGGAACGAAGCTTTGTGTTTGTTTGAACAGGAAGACCGACTACTCCAAGATCACTTATCCATAAATCGATTAATCGTACAAACAACATAAAGAAATCGTACAAACAACATAAAGAAATATAACCAGCGTTTATCGATAAAAACAACCCCCAACACTTAAAACTAAGAATCTCATATTACACTTACACACTAGAACTAGAACAAGAACAAGAACTAACAAAAAAATACTTCTAACTAGTTTTACTTTATTCTTCGACTACTAAAGTTTCACATAAAAATTTTCACATCTAACTAAGCATACAAGAAATCTGCAGGACGTCCAGAATATGTAGTAGCAAATGATCTTGTAGTAAAATCATGTTTCTTATTTCCTCCATCGAATCGATTCACTTTGCTCTCAGCATGAAACCTTGTCATTGGCATAATAGGCTCATAAGTCCTCTGATGCATCTCAATTGATGATTTTTCACTAGATTTATATGCATCTCCCACAACTCCTACAGCTTTATGATTATTACATCCCAACAAAATGCTCGAACGACGTTTAGCCTTGTCTCTTCCATTGGAGTTGTTATTGGTTCTAATTGAGGGTATTTTAACTTCTTCTATATCAGACATCATAGAGAAATCTGCTGCACTAGCAGTTACAACACTCCAATCAATGCTAACTTCACTTGGAGCATAACATGACATACTATCTGAGCCCTGTCTAACTAGACTTTGATTAGCTGTATTGTTACTTGGGAAGCTTTCGATTTCAAACAAGTCTGAACTTGCATCACTTTCTGCGTAATCTTCTTCATAGGTTCCATTTGAACTTGCACCTATGTTGATAATGTCGATTTCTTCAGCTTTCGGAACAATTGCATCCCATGTTAACATGCCTATGTTCTTCTCAAGACTCATTTTGCTTCTTTCTTTCTCTGTTATTGAAAAGCCAAACACTTCTAGTGACTTTCTTGATTCCTCTTCTTCTGTTTCCTTTTTGATCATTTGTATCCCATTCCCACCTTTAGGATCATAAACAGGAACGACGAAACGCTCATCTGATTTCAATCCAACTACTCCTGAATCATCAATTCTCTTGAAGTGCAAATCTTGATGATTAGCTCCTATTGTACTAGTCTTCTTTGATTTTGATTTGAAACTTTTTTCGCGGAGTTGATCATCAATCTCAACAGAGTTCTTGTCTTTGCAGTAACAATTGCAGCCAAATCTAGCAAGGAATTTCTTTCCATAAGACTTGTTTTTAGTCGTCTTTATTGGCCGCGGTGCTTGATGCTGCTGCTGCTGCTGCTGATAATTTCTTGTAACTTTCTGCAACAATGCACTTCTGCTATTCCAACTTGATTCTGAATGAACACTTGGTGTTGAAGGTCTGATCTTTTGCTGCAAAGAAACTATATCAGCGACAACAGGTTGATCATTATGAATCTTGTGTTTGTTTTGTCTCACATTGTTTACTTCATCAACCCCTTCATTGAAGTATTTTTCTGCACTAAATATGTCTATTTCACCATCATCTATCTTCTTACTTGATTCAAGATTAAGTACAATGGTTTTTTCAGTACCATTGATCAAATAAGAAGAAAATGAAGGATCAAGAAGATTTGTAGTAGTATTTTTGGTAGCTTCTAGTTTGACCATAGCCATTTGAGACTAAGTTTTGTATTTGAGTGGAAAGGAGGTGTTTTGGTAAGGGGAAAAAGACTCAAAAAGAAGAGATTTTTGTAAAGAAAAATGGATTTTGGAAGCACTAAGCTACAATAGGAAAATGATGAGAAATAGTTTGATATAACAGAAATCATAGAAGGGAAAAAGGAAGTTAGTTCACTAGTGAAAATTGATGGTGCTTAATAAAGCTATATAACCTTTTCTTTTCTCTTCCTCTACTAGAGTTCTCAACATCAGATTGTGATTTTTCCTTTGACACTTGTCCCACCCTTTTGGTAAGGAGGAAAATTATCATCAACGACAATAACATATTCAGTGTGATCCCGCAAGTGGGATTTGAGGAGGACATGCATTACTCGTCTCTTTTCTGATTGGTATTGGTATGGAGGTCGCTCGCTCTTTGATCAGTGATTCACCGGTCAGGTGGGGTCACTAGTAATAAGATAATACTTCACTGAGCCTATCAACGTTAGATCTATCATCATAGATAAGGAAACAGGAAAATATTCTCAAAATGTTCTCATGTTAGGTTGGTCAAAATGCTGTGGAATCGCGCGGTCCCACTCCCGCCCCCACCTCCTCACCCCCAACCCCACCATCTTAGTAATGTTTTGTGCTTACTTATCAACTTTCGAAAAAATAAGTGATTTCCGTCGAAAATGATTTACTTTATGCCAAAGGTTTAGTACTTACAAGAACTTCCCACTTTTTGAAATTAGTACTCTTTATAATCTTTAACTCTACCCGAAGTGAAAAATGACTTATATCGTATCAAACATACTGCTATAATTTCTATGGTTATAGTAAAATTTGAATATGTAGCAGAAAATGCAGAATATTTGCTTGTCCTTTATGGAATATATTTAATTTGTTTTAAATATGGTGTAGAAGTAGATGAGTATAGAAATCAATCAAAAACAGAAATCATATCAATGCAGTTACCCCACATTAGCTTATGGTTTAGCTATCATAAATTATATAACAAATAAGAACAAGTCAATTTTATGGAGTTATGTGAATTTTGGCCCATAAAGACTGCTGGCCACACAAGATTCACAATATCTAACAACATTTACAATCAAATCTGAGTATGAACAGATAATAAATTTTTAACTCATTCGGTATCCAATAATGTCTAGATCATTCATGTATACATGCTCCTTGTCGGCAAATACTACTTGATGCATACAACACAAAATTTTACTACTCAATTACCAACATGTAAGGTGGGGGGCATAGTCCCACCACCACCAAGGACGGCGTAGGATGGATGAGATCCCTTCACACTTAACCAGATGTCATAATCTAACGCCAATGATATATATTGTCCGTTTTGACCTCACAGATTTATCGAACTCAAAAACGTATGTACCATTGGAACTTGTTTTATGCCTTATTTGACTTAGTTTTTAGGTGCAGATGGCTAATACTCTGAATTTAGATCTAAGTTTCAGATGGTAACAAAATTTGTCTCAAATCATTGACCAATCCTAGTAGCCCTACTGACAACTCTTATCACTTGTCATTCAAGGCCAGAGAGTCCGAACTAAAATATTGAGTTTATGTGTTCTGAATTCTAGAAAATGCAGTTTACGAGTTCTGTCTAACTCGATGCTAAAACTGTAGCTCCACCGCTGGCTAGTCAAGTGTAACTTGAGGTACAATAACCTCAAATATAGAAGAAGTGCAGAGTAATGTCTATGATTTTTGTGATCAGATCAGTGTCCTGTGCACTTCCATTTTGTATTTTTTGCTCTTTTCTCATTCTATTGAAGAAAAAACAATTACTGAATCAAGATATCATATCAGAAATCAACTAGATCAAATTTCCACTTTAATTAAACAACACATTACAGAGTCTATATATCGAGGGAAGAAATGTTTATAAAGGACTTTCAAAAAGCTTCATAATAATCCCATGTAGCTCAGTTTTTAGAGTCATTATCTAACGAGACATGGAACAGAGAAGAAAATGAAGACAGTTATAAACGCTAAATCATCTGGTATAATTTATGGATCCATCAAGACTAAAGATGTGCCGTGGAGTCACCTGTCAAGGGACCCTGCTCGATCAAAATTCCTAGGGGTGAAACGTCTTGCATAACCATGGATTTTGTATTCATAAGATGTTGGTCTTCCTGATCCATACGAGTTCATATGGTCAGACAACATCTTCGGTGGCATCTCATTGTGAGGATGTGGAGTTGGTATCACCCAGAGTCCAATATTGTTTGACAGCAACCAGTATTTTTTCGGGAACAAGGGGACCGTCCTCATGATCCATCAATTTGAAGTTCCACCTCATGCCTCCTATTATCTTCTTCACCTTGATCAGTACATCTACATTGTCTCTTAGAATGACAGCTCCTTCTGGACGCAAAATACGGTCCATCTCTAAGAGAATGTCTTGAAAGTCACACCTATAAAATTAGAAAATGCTAATTTAGTCAATGATACCAATTATTTTTCTTCCTGTAGCACCCTTTAACTGGGTATTTTTTTCTTTTCCTGGCTGGGGATCAGTAGACGGGGGAGATATGAGTTGCCAGAGTGACGAGCTGGCATTTCTATTTCAACAAGAACAGTGCAGTTACGAATAACAGCATATTAAGTCACAGCAGCAAAAAGGAGAAATGATGGTGGATTTAGCCACAACACACGCAAACTTCTGTCGGTACTTCAAATATCAGTCATTATACCATATACTGAGAAGGTTACTATCCTAAAATTTTAAGTGTATGATCATCTACTATCAGTGTATATTTACTTAAGCTACCTTTGCTCTTATCATATCACAATTATTTAGACCTTTTTACTTAATTAGCAACTAGGCACGGCCAACAATAGGACCTTCAATAAAGGAGCTGCAATACCACCGTGCTATTAAGCTCTTTATCTAAATGAAGAACATACTAAGTAAATTAGCAATATAAATAAATAGCGAAGATAAAAACTTACTTGTCCTTATATAAACTGAAAAGGCCATTAGCATGAATGAGATCATATGTCCTTGGGTATGTAGAAAATGCTTCACACCTGAATCAGAAGATAACTATATGATCAGAGGATAGCTTTCTCTTACATAAGGAAGAGAATAAATAGAAATAAAGTAAAACATAACACTAGTATCTTCCTTGTGAACAAAAAAAAAGATAAATTTGATACACGCTATTTTCTCAAACAGCATACTGCATTTTCTTGACATCCTTTTTGCTATTTTAATAAAGCATGAGTACGTTTTGATAGAAACAAATGAGAAAATTACTTTTGTATATATGGATCTTAGGTGCATTTGTGAAACATTTTCATGGACTCATAATAGAGAATTTCGTCAAAAACGAAATGACATAGTCATCTATTTTTAACAAATTTAGACATTTACTAGGGTGAAAGTCTTGATCTTAGCTCCAGCATGTAAACAAAACACATTGAACCAGGGGAAAGGAGAGTTTCTATCATATGGTCCTATGTCTGTTAAATCAACAATAACAACATACCCAGTAGAGTCCCACAAGTGGGGTGTGGGGAGGGTGGGGTGTATTCAGACCTTTGTGGGGTAGAAAGACTGTTTTTGATAGACCCTTTGTCTCAAGAAAAACATTTTTCAGAATCAGTCTGAAAGAAATGCAAGAGTAAAAAGCTATAATGAAAATTTTGAAGAAAGAGAAGGACCACCAGTAAACAGAGACTGGAATTGCATGACAAGAGTAAACACGGACTGAATTCCTAAAAAGTCAGATTATGAGGGAGACAACGAGAGTAATTCCTAAAAAGATAGATTATAAGGAGACACCAATAACTACATCATCATCTCAATATCAGAACTATAGATCATTCATACCCTATTAGTACGTACCAGTCATGATAGATACCAATCAGTCCCCGTTCGAATACAACTCCCAAAGTATTCTTCTCAGCTATTGTTGGCATAACATTCATAACCCAAAACTTGGGATCGTGAAGTGCTGCTGCAAAACCTCCTAGTCCAGCATTCATGTCCATAATGTTGCGGTACCTTCCAGTGTCCAGGAGTTTGTTGATCTTCTTATAAGCACTTACGTGTTTCTTCCATTTCTTGCTGTCTTCTTGATATTTCTCAACAGACACTCCAGAAACTAATCCATTGGCAATTCTTGGAGGAACAGCATAAAGTCTCTCAGGGAATGGCTTTAGACTCTCGTCTCCACCATTACCATTGTTTGGTGTTATGCACATTTCCATTTTGTTGTACCTGAACCAAAAAGGTAAAAATAATGGATCAGCCATGAGCTTGTTTTCAATATTGATACAATATGAACACAACAAGACCACTGAAGCTGCCTCAAACAAAACACAGTAATCATGCATTTCAATATACAACAACCAATTTCAGGGTTGTATCACTTACTGCAAAATATCGAATTATTCAAAACACAATACCAATCCTACTGTCACATTCAGCAAAAAAAGGCATTTATAGATAAAATGTGAATTACTTTACATTCTCTGGAAATCCTAAAACTAAAAGCTGTAAATTAAACCAGTTAAAATACTCAATTCTATCAGAAACCAGTTTGGACAAAATGAAGCAAGGGTTATCTTGTTTATGGTCATCAAAACAGGACAGTGCTGTTCATCGTGCTATTAGCTATCAGTTGATGCATTCCTGTGGTAGTAAATATATTGTGCTCAACAAGAACTAAGCATCAAATGAACAATTTCAGCTGGCTTAATAAGCAGAAGTGGCTGTCGAATAATTAGATGACCAGAACTGTTGATAAGAGAACAGGAGAAAAGATTGAAGTGCAGAACAAGTTATTTAAATTGCTTCTATGTTCAAACCAGGATGTAACTAAATATGAAGGAAAATCTTACTTCTAACATACAGCTTAAATCATTAAAGAAATTTTTAAACTGACAGTTACATGTCCAATGTAATGAAAGAACCTCAGTCTATCCTTTTTCTTTTCGCTTTTTTTAGGAAGGGCCTTGGCTTGGAGAGTTGAGATAAGTTGTAGCATGCACTAAGCCACTTCCATAACGCAGTTTGCTTAGTAAGTTAACAATGTGATATTTACCTTATCAGATTATGGCAAATGGATTGTCCTGCATACTTAGTGAGTTTTCTGCCACCTAGACAATTCAAATTCGCATACTGAACCTTCTTGACATGCTATTCATCTAAAGAAACAAGTTTCTCATGTTCAAGTAATTCTAACTGGTGGCATGATCTAATTTATTTCTAAAGCACCTCAAGAAACCTATTTCACAGTAGAATAGAGCTGCCACTCATAGGAATAGAGACGCATGAAGCACAT